CTTAGGCTAGATACTGTTGTTACTCGTCGACCATTTATGTACAAATCTAAAGGATTTGGAATAGGGTTATAAGCGTTCTGCAAAGTAAAAAAAGAACATTGGACTATAAAAAAGGACTGGAGGGAGAGAGGTTAAGCTGTTGATTGCGATCCGCCGTTACAAATCGCTACTTTAAAATTTTGAAAAACTCAAGAAAAGAAGAAGAAGAAATGATAGAAAGAAGTAGAAATTATATTTTTTGTGGCGAGGCTGTACGTTTGACAACATTATAGGTGAGGCACAAAAAGTAATTTTTACACGGAATAGAACATGCTGTTTTTTTTCAAACGTTACAAATAAGTTTTTAAACAATTTCAAACGTTGCAAATAATATAAAAAAGATTTAAAAGTAGGTAATACACTGTAAGTAATTATACAGGGTGGTCCGAACTTTATTCCGGAAACTTCGCCAGCTACTTCTGCAGATAAAAATAAGTAAAAAAGTTCGTATAAATATACGTCCTAAAATGCTTAGTTTTAGAGATACAGGGTGTAGAAATTTCATTTTTATTTCGATTTTTTACAAATAATTTCTGAAGTAACGTCAATATTTGGATGAAAATTGGTGGATGGGTGTTTTTTGACATGAGAAATTTGATTTTAAAAATTAATTAATACCTGTAATCATTGACATTAATTAAACATGTTGACTAAATAGTTATTAAACTGAAATCATAAATTTGAAATATTTTTGTGTCAAAAGTTCAACAGAAACTGTTTTATCATCATTTTTTGCAGAAAAATTTATGATTAATTTAAAAAAAAAATAAAAATTTTCAAATTTATTATTTCAGTGAAATAACTATCTACTCAAGGTGTTTATTTTTCGTCAATAATGACATGTATTGACTATTTCCATTCTAAATATCTTAAGAACGGTGGCTCGTAGCGATTTTTACAAAGAGATATCTTTTACATAAAAAGTCACAGGGATGTATATTTTTTTGCTCGGTAGTTTTATACAGGTACGGACAAAAAGATATTATGCTTCAAAACAGTTAAAACACATGTAGATGGCGCCCTCTACTAGTAGGAATCATATTGACATCAAAATCAAGTTTCTCATATCAAAAAACTCCCAGACACCAATTTTCATCCAAATATTGACGTTACTTCAGAAATTATTTAGAAAAAAACGAAATAAAAATAAAATTGCTACACCCTGTATCTGTGAAACTAAGCATTTTAGGACCTACATTTATACGAACTTTTTTATTTATTTTTATCTGCAGAATATGCTGCCAAAGTTTCCGGAATACAATTCGGACCACCCTGTATATCGAGGAATTATGGTTACACTCGTTGAAATATGCGTTCTAAAAAACTGTAAAAAGCGTATGACAAAAAATAGTGTATGTAACACGTACCTAAATTATGTTTTTTAGGACTCATCTACTATTTCGGACTCGGCTAACGCCTCGTCCGCAAACAGTAATGATTCGTCCTAAAAAACATCATTTTAGGTACTAGTTACATAAATAGCTATTGTGACGCTGAAAAAAAATACAACTATTTATAAGTTTTATCCACGACTCGTCTATAATTTGATTATCATACATGAGTTTATGAAATAATAATAATATTCATTATTCACCGCTTCCACGGATATGTGTTACTTATTCGTCATACTGGTTCAATATTTTTTTTTGATATTAAAAATAAAAACTTATATTAATATTATCTAAACTTATTTGATAGTCCTGGATAAAGTATAGTATTCTACTCGCATATAATGGCTGTTATTCACTTGGATGATTTATTTATGACACTCGCCTGCGGCTCGTGTCATAAACTTCATCCGCGTGAATAACAGCTACCACTATATGCTCGTTGAATAATATACTATTATAACATATCTAATTAAATTTGGACGAAAGGAATATTTCTGGTTCCTGTAGATAATTTTAAAGGGAAAATACGCAAATAAAAAGGACTTTTTTAATTAAGGCAATCCTAAGGCAAGTTGGAATAAGCTTCCGGAAAACTACCGATTTGACGAATTTGTCCGGGTGGTGATGTCATTGTCTCTTCTAATGCGGTTCTGAAAGAAATGTTCTGTTTTTTTTTATATCTGTAATGGATATATCTGTAATCAGAAATTAAAGAAGCTTTAGCAAGAGCAAAAAGAGAAACGAGGGAAGCACATGATGCGGGAAACAAGTTAGAGAAATGAGTAAAGAAAATAGAAGGGAGAGGTTGACAAAGTGACAATTACAAAATTTTAAAAATGGATTACTGAATTATTTAATTGGGAACGTTAAAATAAATTAATCTTTTGCTTTTTCTGAGTAAGAAATTAATAATAAAGAATATCTACTTATATTATAAGTTGTATATGTCAAAAATATACTATAATTTAATTTTTACCATATACCATTTTAATTACAACCTAAATTTATAAAAAAATATAACGTAACCTACATTCACCGTCTTAATACAAAACATGAAGCTCGAAAAAACAAGTAATTATATCTTTTCTGAATGGAATTCCCCTAATATGAAATTGGCATCAGTGAAATTTAAGTATACATAGGCATATTAATGAAAGAGTAAAAGTGTATCGTTGGTGGTCAGCTAATAACATCATTTCAATTCATTACGCATCTTGTTAAATCTTAATTTGGTACATTATTCAGAAAAACAATGGGAAAAAAACACGTCCAATTATTTAAAAAGTATAATAATGCCGGGGTTTAAGTTAAAATTACTTTTTTTATCATCTGTTGTAAATTTCAAAAATCATGCACACCTGATATGTTCCATAGTACAGAATGTTTGTCTTACTTTAATGAAAAGATAGTATCACAATGTCCAGCACAAAGAGGTGAAACTTCAAAATGCAAGAGAATGCAATGCCCTTCGAAATGCAAACATAAAATTTGTCTATTCACACTATCACTACACGTTGTGAATCTTTTAACACGTAAATCCGCAAAAATGTATGAAACATTCAATTACTTTACGTATTAAGACATGAATCACAAAAAAATGAGCGCGATACAAACTTAACCGTTGCAATTACAACAATAAATACAAAGAACAACACAGTGTGCGTAAAACCGTTCATGTCGAAGGCAATTGCGATAAAACTGTTTATATTTTCAGAAATAATAATGAGCATCGGTTATAGTTATTTGTAGAGGAATTTTTTCCAATAAATTCATAGAAAATTGATGGTTGCACTGCAGAACTATCAGTAATATAGGGTATATACAATATATTATTATTATACACTGAAAAAAATCCGTTAAAAAACATATAATCTCTCTGTCTATTTAGGAGTTTGACTACAATCTTTCTTATACAAATCCATCCAAAATAATTGAAATGGTGGGTTATGCTAATTTTGTTCGTTTGTTTGGTAATAAATTCAGGAAATTTAAATATTTGTCGGCTGTTTTCACTAGCGCCAAAGCAAACCATTAGGCGAATAACATTTATTAAATGATCTTTAAATTAGTTTCCCATAATAAGACAAACCAACACGAGATGTTGATAATAAAATGCATAAAATAGTCCAAAAATGTTGGTTAGAAGGTATATAATATATAATTATATTTCAAATTAGTATGCTGTAAAAAGTCGCATATTTTTGGTAATTTAAAAGAGAAAATGTGTAAATGTTTATATGGGCTTATTATATTGTTTCATCTTGTGTTCTTACGTCCTGGTCAAGAGTATCTGGAAATCGTCCAAATATACGTTTTTGATACTAAATAAATAATTAAGCTGTGTTCAAAAATGCGATTCTGTATTTCTGATACTTCTCCATTTTCGTTCAATTTCTAACCTCGTTTTGAATGTCGGGACAAAAATGGACATGAATTATGTTGAAAATGTTACTTTTTTGTTTGCTTTGTGAGTCATTGTCTGGGCAATAACTTTATTGACCACATAAAATTGAGAAATCTTCAAATTTAACAGCTATCAGCAACAATAATAACATCATCATCATTTTCAGTTTATACAACCACTTCCAATTATGGTGTAGCCTCCCTCACATATTCAGATACTCTTTTTGTAGTGGGCCAATTGTTGTCTATTATGGGTAATGCGGGCCCAAGTTGTCACTGCTAATTTCCTAATATAATGGTCATGGTTCGGTCTCCTAGGTCTCTTAATTCCTCGTGTGTACCATGCTGTAATTTTTGTGGTCCGTCTGTTGTCCTATCTTCTTGCCAGGTGTCCTATGAGGGATTTGACTCTGTGAATGACATCTATTACCAGGGTCTTTTGTCGTATCCACTCTCTTCTTTTAGAGTCTCTTGGTTATTCCCAGCATATTTCGTTCCGTTGTGCAGTTAGCATCTGCAGTTTGCTTATGATGTCCGTTTTAAGGTTTCCAGTTTTAAGGTTTCCGTTTTAAGTTTGTCCTGATTTCGTCTGTATACTTTTATCCTGGGAATCAGCGAAGTAAGAAGGAAAGGAGAAGATCTGATAGAACTTCATTCGGTAAACATGTTCTACTATAAAGGTATATCTACTGGAACAATAATATAACAACCAATATTTCCTCAGTATCTTTGTTAAGTCTTTTTAACGAATCCTGACTATGACATTCAATTTTAAAATCAAAGCATTCAGCTTCGTATTAAAAGAAAACAGAATCACGAACAAAAAAGTTTGAAATCAAAGCAATCAAAACTCATTCGTGTAACTTTTATATTGTATACGCTTAAAATTCCAGCCAGTAGGCAACAAATAAAAGAATACATAAACTTATTTCAAATGTTTATCAGGACCGCCCGCATTAAATTAGACATTACCGTCAACGTCCGGGCAAAGTCGTTAAATCGATAGTTTGAAGCTCATCAATATAGTCCATCTCCTTTGGATTTTTACAATGTTCAACCTAAAAGGCAATATACAATATTGACCTGTCGATACTGTAAAAGGCTGGTTTTATATCTTTATCCCTACCAATATATTAACATCTGTAGTATATAATATTATGTATTTACCTCTTCAGCTTCACTCTGCAAAGTTCTGTATCTCCCCAACTCCTTCAGCCTCTCCATTCTTTCCATTTTCAGCTGTTCCATTCTTTTAGTGACTCTCTCCACCGCGTTGAAGTAGTCGTAGGCCACGTTGGTACCCCTCTTGACGTCTTGACTGCTCGCTAGCCATTGGCTACGCTCTGCAAGACTAGTGACGGTCTTGTGGCCATCTTTCCGCAGCTTCTGGACCGTTTCGGAGTCCAGAGCTTTGGTAATTTGTCTAAAAAAAACAGAAAAATGTATTTAAATTATTATGATAAAACGATATGCAAAAATGCAAATAAAACTTTATTTATAAAAAATTTGTACTAATAGAATAATCTATTTGATGTATTTTTTAATTTTGGGCACAAAAGAACACTAAAAAGAAAAGTACAATCCTTCCTCTAGATTCATTTAAAACTCCGCCCGATAATTTTTTTTACAAACACTTACAAGAATTTAACACGACACATGGTTTTTTCTTTTAAAAAAACGCACAGGTGTGACAACAAAACGCACTCTGACTGGACTTAGTAAAACAAATGTCTTGAAATTAAATGTGTATGTATATAAGTACTCCAAAATCGATTTAAACTACATTTAGATAAAACAAAATCTTCTGTGTAAAGGATAAGAAATTGGGTGAGGGATCTTCTCCGTGATTTCGACACACTGAAGAATTGTCTCAAAGAACGGAAAGCTCGGAAATATTAAAACAAGAAAGTAGGTGCATATAAGAGGTACTTTGTGATTGGTAACTCGTATATTGGAGGGACAAAATGATCTGTGAATGTATGACAACATACGCGAAGAGGTGAAACAATGACGTCTGGTATTGTAGACCATGTGTGTCCAGAGATGTCCACACAACATTCATATTAGTGGTCGGAAATCCTGGTTGTTCAAAAAATATCATATTGAGAAAAGAGTAAATTTAACTAACAATTTATAAAACGTACAATTGCAGGCGTCCTCAGTGGACAACCTTAGATTGACTGCAACCATCTCCGTGAAGGGGCCTTGCTTTAGTATAATATAAGCTCAGCAGTTTAATAATTTATATTCGATATCACTTAAACTTAGAGTTACGTAATCGAGGGCGAGATTCTGAAATTAATTTTTGCCAACAATGGATATATTCGGCGCCGGGCTGACTAACTGGAATTTAAATTTCGCGCTGGCGATTTAAGTGGTAGCTCTGCTGTAAAAAATGTTAATTTGCCGCATTTATTTATTTATTTCCTGATATTGTCATTCGTTTTAACACTTGAGTTTTGTATTAAACTAACATTTTAGTTTTGTATTAGTTTTTTTGAGTTTTTCGTTTAAATAAATAGTGTTGTGATTCTTTCAGCTTAAAAATGTTAACTAGCAGACCTTGCAGTCGAACGTTGTTCTTTTTAGAATATATTTTAGTGCGAAGTGGGTACAAGATGGCCTAATAGCAGTAAGAAACTCATCGCAATTTTATTAGAATATTTTGAACAGGAAAGCGTAGTAATGGCTCTTTATGTCCCTTAGCGCAGTTAAGAAGATGAGTATTGTTGGTGTAAATAATATCTCTATATGTATATATTAATAATTATTTTTTTTTCTAACATATTTTGATTAAAAGAAATATATATAAGCGAGCCACGCTCTGCCGGTCAAGCTTAATCACGTGAGTAAAAGTTTATTTGGTATGAACTGTAAATTTGTTCACACTTGATAACGGTCAGTAATACATCTGACCGAAATATTTCAAAACTACATAATCAGTCTAGTTTTCATTCAAAAATTACATTTTATTACCTATTAGTTACATATCATTATGACGTTTCTTATAATAAATTGATGTAGAAAACTAAACAGCATAGATTTTAATAAAAAAAATATTAAGATAACACCAATGAAGTAATGATTCTTTGATCTTTGCAATAAGATAATGAATACTGCACATTACTAACTCTCTATAAACAATTTAATGCTTCACAACTATATTATATTTTAAGGTATTTCTTGCACTTTCATTGAGAATGCCCCTGTAAAGAGTGCTGAACCTTGCGAGACGCAATGCCGTGAAAAAGTGTTAATTGTACTTAGTTCAAATATGTCACGTATTTGAACAACTTACGGCACAACAAAAAAAAAAGATCTCGGATGATCTACACACTGAAATTGAGGTCAACGTATCCAATTGTTAAATTTAAAAATACTTTAGATAGTAATGCCTTTTTCTGTAAAGGATGAACAACGTCCTTCATGAAATTTGCTATTATTTGTAAACTGTAACTAATCGTCATTAACAACATTATACGATAATTAGACCATGCAACCTAGTAGGGTAAGTAAATTCGCTTCATTTTTTTAACATTCGAAAAAATGACGTCTAGAGGTTGACCTCGCCCAAATTATCATCGATTGTCATTCCCCAGCCGTCTTGGATGACTGTTGTTTTTTTGAAAATATTTTTTTTTTGAATATTATTTTGCCGGGTTTTTTCGATTATACAACTCTATGCATATTTTTCCTATATAGAAGGATGTGATTGAAGAAAGTGATAATCATTTAAGTGATTATCGCTTGGTGGCCATATTGTAATTGTCATTTTTTGAAATATTAATTCAGAAATCCTTTTTGTTAGGTCCACAAAATATCCCGTCAGTTCTTATTACAAAATAACAAAAGAAAGATTTGGTAAAATTTTGTTGCCTCAAGTCGACGATGCTATATGTACATTATTTCGTTGTATAATCTTTTGAATACAACTCGATGTTTCGGAATTACCTAATACTTTTGCCTGACACTCAATGCGACACCGGTAACACTACGACTCCGAAGGAGGAGGTAACGCATTTCGTGTCAGGCAAAAGTATTATTCGGTAATCCCAAAACATCTTCTGGTATTACATTCGATAATCATCATAATCATCGCATAGCCCTCACTGTCCACTGCTGGATAGGCCTCCTCTAAGTTCCTCCATGTCTCGCGGTTCTAGGCCGTCATTATCCAATTTTCAGATATTCGTTTAATTTAATATCATCGATCCGGCGCGTCGGTGGTCTAGGTGTTCGGTTTGTCTTCTCGTGGCCGTCATTCCGGTATTCTTTTAATCCATCTGTCGTTCGATGTTCTCGTCATATGATCTGACCATCTCCATTTCATTCAGGTTATTTGTTTCATGTCTTTAGTTAATATTCGATGATATTAAGGTTTAGAACACGAAAGCTACGAATGCAATACGTTGGAATAATATAAACAAAAACTGCTGTGTAAGACCAAAGTAAGACGATCGACCCCTTATAGCTTTGCCTAAATGCGTTCTTTGTTAGTGAAGTTGTACGTATTTTAAACAGTTAGAGTTCAGTTGCAGGTATCTATGCATTCCGAGTGCGTGTTTCTAGAAAAGGAATAAATAATTCTTTATTTAAATCGCACGTGTATTATTAATCCCATAACCCAACATTATTTGGTATTTTGTCTTTTCTAGTGATTACAAACATGGCTCTGTCCATTGCTCTTTGGGCTACTCTTAGATTTTCCGCTGACTTTTTTGTTAGTATCAGCGTTTCTGCTCCATATGTTATCACCGGCAACACACATTGTTCGTATACTTTTCTTTTCAGACATATGGGTATATCGCTTTTAAATGTCCCTGGTAATTTTCCAAAAACAGAGCCCAACCCATACCTATTCTGCGCTGTTTTTCGTGCGTTTGATTGTTCTTTTCAATCTATATTTCGTGGCCAACATGTCGTGGCCAACATCTTTATTCTCCGAGTTGTCTATTCTGATGTTTTGTGCAAGTAACTAGATTGGACATTATTTGGGTTTTACTTGCATTTATCCGGAGACCGACTTTTGATGAGGCCTGTTTTATGTCTGCCAGCATTTGTTTAGCATCGCCGATGTTATCTGTGATGACCTGATGACAACGATGTCATCTGTAAATCGGAGGTGTGTCAGTCTTTCGCCGTAAACATTGATTAGGTTCTTCCAAGATAGAGATTTCATTGCGTATTCAAGGACAGCTGTGAAAAGTTTAGGTGAAATGGTGTCTGCTTGTCGAACTCCTCTGCCTACTTTAATTTCGCCAGTTGTTTCGTGAACAAGATACCATAATAATAGTTAAATTTCTTATAACAACACATTAACAAATGACGATGCAGAAAACTATTAATTTTACGAATGAAAGACTAAAATTTTGTTAAGGAAATACTTACATGTTATTCATGACTCCATAATCACAGCGAAATGTTCAAAATTGTTCTATAAATTAATTTCCTTCATTATCATCGACTCCAAAAATACCGAACAATCTTCAAATACCAGTATCACACGTCATAGAAATATTCTGCACTTGACAATGGCATAGTTCTTTTAAAATCACACTTAATCGCAAAACATACTTTCGGAACTACGTAAAACAACGGACGACATAATATATTATGTGCTAATATCGATAGAAAGGACTCAAACTGATAGATTAGTTATTTTTGCATTGTGTCTTTCTTAACTAACTGTTTCAGATAAGATATGCGCATAAATTATGGCCGTTTTTTTGTTCTTTTCTGCGAGATAATGAACCTTAGTTTATACGGAACGAGTGTGTGCTACAGGCAATTAATTAAATGTGTGCAAACGGTATAAATAAACATTTACATTTTTGATGTCGAACCGAAACGAATTTGTTGAGTAAATTTATCGTATGCTCCGATTCACATTTAACACATTTTTGGCTGATTCTTTCTCGTGATTATTGTACAGGGTGTTTTAATTTGCAGTATGACATCAAATCGTCTGATTGCGACACACCGCTTTGAATGACGGGCTCAACTTTCGTTTAGCTGAAATCTGTTATATTAAAAATGACTTTATATATGAGTTCTAGAAGGCGTTAGGAGTACAAATACACAAAAATTTTCCTGCGGAAATGCGCCATTTTCATTTTTTGGACTTTAGTATAGCCGAAATCTGTTACATCAAAACTAGTCTTCGGGGTGTGTTTTAGACATTTTTCTAAACATAAAAACACAAAAAAGTGTCTGCGGAAATTACGAGCAAAGAAATACAACAAAATTCCTGCGGAAATGTGTCAATGTCATTTTGTGCACTTTGTTTCTCATACATTTTTCAGTTTAGAAGGTTACGGGACCCGGGAGCGAATAGGGGTACTGGGTGGGGTAAAACATCTTTTGGAGGAATAACAATTCTTGTAGAATAGATAATATAGGTTCTTGTAAACCTATAAGTACCTCGGAATGTTACACTTATTCTTGTTTTTTATTAGAGCTTTACGTAAATAGGGCTGATTCAAAACAAACAGGCTGATTCAACAAATCATTGGACCATGCAGTTTTCTTTTATATTTTAATAATTAACTGTGATTTTGCAAAAATATTAGATTGGTTAGCATTTGGGTTGCTTTGGTTAGCTTTTCTTTGTGAAGGGTGTTAAGCTGTGGTTTTTATATTTTAATAATTAACTGTGATTGTGCAAAAATATTATTAGATTGGATAGCATTTTAGACACTTTTAAATGATTTTTTTTTGGTTCAAAAGTGATAAAAAGATAATTTTTTATGTACTTATGCTTACAAAAATGGAACATGAAGATCAAGCGTTTCCGCAGGAAATTTTTTATTTTACTGAGTTTGTAAACGCTTCTAAAAGGCAAAAATATATTTATTTTTTATATAACTGATTTCAGCTATTCTAAAGTCTATTGAATTTCCTAAGAAAAGGGATACAGTCTATTTCCGCAGGAAAATTGTTATTTTCCTCCATTCGTGAATGCTTCTAAAAGGCAAAAATATATTTATTTTTTATATAACTGATTCCAGCTATTCTAAAGTCTAATAAATTTCCTCAGAAAATGGAAACATGTTTATATGTTCAGAAAAAAAAATGTTTATATGTTCAGAAAAAATATTAAAAATAAAACGCAAAATGTATTTTTTATAGCAGATTTAAGTTATTCTAAAGTGCGAAATTTGGAAATTACGCATTTCCGCAGGAAAATTTATATCCGTAGTTCACAGTTACTTTTTAAAGACAATTTTTTTTTTCTAATAACTGATTTCAACTAAACGAAAGTTGACCCGATTTGACGCGCGAGCTAGCGAGAGGAAAAGTGGTAGCGGCAGCGCTGCACATCAGCTACCCCATTCGGGGTAGTTCTGCCCCTTTGTAAAACAATTTAACCCCGTTATCTCGTGGTAATCTACCCCGATGAAAAATAAGCTTGTGGCAAAACTGGGTAACGATCTGTGCCATACGCGGCTAAGAAAATCACTATAATAAACTTGATACTGTACCAGCCTTGATTTCATGCATATTTTCATCAATAGGTTTGTAGCTTCTGAATAACTTCTGAAAATCTAGATAAAACATCTAGGTCATTTGCCAGCTCAGAATTAGAATTTAGAGTTAGTAACTCGCATTTTCATTGGAGGACACTGTCATATTTATATATATATAATCAACGAGAATATTCGTATAATATAACAAAAATACTTTAAATCACTATAAATAATAAATTTTTGTTTATTAATCCGGTAAATGATGGAGATAAACAATTGTGATTGACTAAAATTTTATTTCAAGAAGAAACTTTTGTTAACAACATTCTGAGAATTCGAATAATGAATTGAATAATGACAAGTGACAGCGATTTAGAGTGACAGTTTGGTTATGTAAAACTTAGAGTGACAATTTTGATTATGCAAAAGAAATACATATTCTATGAGTTTACTGGTTGCCTAACGATTAACATTAGTTTAAAAATAAATCCCCAACATGAATAATGATGTCGAAGAGCTGACTACAAAGAGCAATATTGCTAATAATTATGCTTTACCTGCACTGATGGTTTAAGAATCTGCGAGTTATTTGATGAGGAATCTCTTCATTTCTCAGCTGGGAAAGTGTGGAAAACAAATATTTTCCCGCAGTTTTACACGCGCCTACAAAGGGTTCGTATTGCTTGAAGAATTCCACCCATTCCAGCTGATCGTGGGTACAGGTACCGCCACAACTCGCAGGAGCCTGGTTCTTCTTAAGGTACTGGTTTAGCGTCGATTCTTCTGTTATTAGAATGGCCTAGAAGAAGATCGAAACAATATTTTGTAAATACTGTATAAAATAAAGTCACATTTTAATAATATTTAGTAAGATTTGCCTTAAAAAGTTGCTTAACTTAAACTAAAAAATTCGATTGCATCCAAATATTATTTATCGAAACCAGAATTTTCCCGATTTTATATTTGTTATTTTCCTGAATCTAGTTGAAACAATATACAAATTTCACATTCCCATTGCTACTTTTTAGCTCAATCACTTTAGATTTCTTCAAAAAAAAAATTGAGGAGTTTTGGTGGAACTTTTGACGCAGTTAGTTTCAATTTGATAAGTAGATGACAAAATTACAGTCTTGCAATATCATCATCGTCATTTTCAGCTTGTTCAACCATTTCCAATTATAGTATAGCCTTCCTCGCAAATTTATTCATTATATTTTTGTTGAAAAATGCAAAATAAAAAAAATAATGTTTTATGTTTCTGCGCAAATCGCAGATAGAATAAAATCCAAGATGGCGAGCACTCATATCAAATATATGAGCAAGATTGTGATTTTGCCATCTACTTGTCAAACAATAGTATAGTATTTTAGTATTTAGGCTAGTCTGGACGAAGCCTACTTTGCTTATGCGGAATCCGAACCGCACTCCTCGGTTATATCATTGTTAATAGCACATCATTGATTTGGCGTGTGGCTAAATTTACTCTTACGAGATACTCAATCTCATCTGCATCTCAAAGCAGTGGGCGTCAATAGATTTTACACTCTTGCAATGGAACTCCATGGTGCTACGCTATTCAGACGGTCACCCATCCATCCATTCGGATCGTCTAACGTCACTTAACTATTTAGGCTATATGGGCTTTCCGCTCTACAAGTCGATGTTATTACATTTTTAAGACGTTTCGTTTCTTCTAGCAATCAACATCTACTTAATTTTGTAAGACGGCCTTAAATACCAACTCATTCCACAGATCTCTTCTTCTGTTCTTCTTGAGGTGCCTCTTCTCAGCGAAGATTGACGATAACCACAGCGAATTCTTCTCGTCTTTCTGACGAGCTCGCTGATTGATTACCGTCCAATCCCTTATGTTTCTCATCCACGACATCTGTCTTCTGCCTGAACCTCGCTTCCCTTCAATATTAGCTTTGATGATAAGGTGAAAGAAATTGTACTTGTCGTTCCTTAGAATATGACCAACGTATGCTGATTTTCTTTTCTTTATTGTATATTTGGAAACTCTCTCTCATAGTTCATGCGATATAATAGGGAGTCATTTAACATGTGCTCCGTCCAATATATCTTCAGCAACCGACGAAATAACCACATTTCAAAAACTTCGATCTTCCTCATTGTAGTCACTTTCTGGGTCCAGGTTCCATTCCATATAAGGGCACAGAATAAATGCAGCACTTCACCATACCATATCATTACGGGTTCAATGTTAGGTCTTTGTTACAAAAGAATGGTTTCATTTTGAGGAACGTGGGAAACGTGGGGAAGGGCTTTCTCTATGCTGGCTTTAACCTCTACATCCTGATCCAAATCCTCAGTGATCGAACATCCAAGATACCTGAATTGAAACTCTATCCACAGATATAGGTAGATTTTTTAATTAAATGTTTATGAAAAAATAATTTTATTTTAACATAATTTTACTTTCCATATGTGTCTTTTTGGTACACGATTATCTTAAATGAAATTGATAAAGATTTATTTACCTATCTAACAGGTATTTTAATTTTCGAAGGTATATTTTCTTGGCGATATGCCTAGATGATTCCGCTGATATTAAGATTCTTGTAATCGCCGTTGTCGCAATATATCATACAGTTTATTTTACGACATAAATGGGTAATTTCTGTCTAATGATAAATTCGCAACTATTTGCGTTACATTTTTCTCGGAATCTAAGCAATGTCTACCAGACCCAGTCATAATAAATAATCGGTATAAATCAAATTAATCTTATTCATATTGTAATGTTGTTGCTTTCCCCTAACGCACAATTTCAACAGGAATGCATATATAAGTAATCTAATACCGAGAATATATTTCTTTTTTTTTCTTCATGGTTTCGAAAAATATATAAGCCAAGATATCGAGTTGTTACCGTGTTTATATTTAAATCGTCGGACTTGTATTTTATAGCGATCATATCTGATTTCGTATTTGCATAGTTTTGCACTTTCATCGGCCGTTTTGAAGCTGTTAAAGTGGTCCGATATTATTTATTACGGTTGATATGTTCTTCTAAAACGCCATACTTCCGGTTATTACGATCAATTACGCCACTTCCGCTAAATAATGTTACGTTTTGAGTTGTCGGGGTGATATGTTGATAAGAGATTCGATTTTTTTCATCTCACGGATCAGTACTTATTCACCTCTCACTCTTGAAGTTATCAATAAACGAAAACACGACTTTCTTTTCAACATAATCAAAGAACGTTCCTTTCTACACACCCCGCCAAAAAATTCTGTCACCGTAATATGTTTGCAAAGTTTTATGTTTCATAACTTTCATATTTTTCATTGTTCATATTTTTGATTGTCATGAGTTTATTTTTTAGTTTATACTGTTATATAGGGTCTCCCAGAAATGAGTGCAAGTATTTTAACTGGTAGTACAGTTTAACCCCAGAAACACGTCTATGAGGTTTTTTCACGAAAAAAAATTTTTGAATATTGGGATTTTTTTGAAAACTTTTTTGGAAATTTTTTTAGTTTTTAGTTAAAAAAACTTAATTTCTTGATAATATGGCAATATAAGTAATAGATTAAATTTACAAGAGAGAAAATCCAGAAAATATCCAGCGGTTCTCAAAATTTTAGCAAAAAATATTTTTTTTGGAAATTTTCAAGGTAAAATAACTCCGTTATTTTGGACTTATTTGAAAAACGATAAATAGAAAATATGTTTCTTTCATCGAGATCTACCACCCCTTAAAATAATTGCACTTATTTCTGGGACACCCTGTATATTGTATAACGTGTGGTGCATCGAAACGCGGGGCGAAATCCCATGTAAATTTTGAAAACCTATTTATTTTATATCAGTGTCCAATCTATCTCTAGTAGATGATATTTGTCTATGATTCATAATTTATACAAACTTACTCTATTTGGTACATGGAATTTGACAATGACACAATCACAAATTAATACTCTTCATAAGGAATTACCATCAAAACAAGTATTTTTATTAATCGTTTACTATCAAATACGAAATTAAATTAAAGGCTATATTGTAAATTTCTCTTTCATTATAAATTTCACAGTCGAGTCTCCTGCTTTTTTTTGTAAAGTAACATTGCAAATGCTTCGGGGTTAGGATCTTCCCGGATCTAGGTCACTTCCTGTATAATCGTCTTTTGAATATTATTTTATTATTATTATTAATTTCAGAGAGACCGTCATGCGAATGTCATAATTTATTTAGTAGGTATCTATTTCAGGGAAATATACAAACAGTAATTATTTTTTTTACAGAAATTAACACGCACATTAACATATATCTTTCATATTATCTACTCTAGTAGTAATTAGGAGAAAGGATAAAATTTAATATAAATTTTTTCATGAACACTCTGATTGATTTCATTATATTTTTTAGAACTGTAGCTTGGATCTTCAGCAGAGATATAGAGATAGGGAGAACAGGCCCGTTCCTCCGATGGGTAGCGCCCTGATGCAATTTTTTAGGGGGCCCCATGAAACCCCATATCAATTACTAGGGAAGAGGAAGGAGATCCGCTGAGAAAATTTTACTCATTGCTTGTTTTTTTTTGACATATACATTTGTGGCTAGACTAAGTTGTATTTTTTAGACTTAAAAATTAAGACAGAATGTAAGAAACAAGCAAAACAACACTTCTTGGAAAAAGTCTGCGTTTTCGTTACTGAAAGCAAAATCTATAAAATAGAAAAGTTATTTTCTATAAATAGCCCTGCGTTTGAAAACTAGCTTGTCTTTTACTAGTAAAACATATTTTCCTAACAGATAAACAATACAAACAAAATTGTTCAAATTTGGCATATGAATTCAGCATATGCAGATCTTTAAAAAAACTATTTACTATACAGAAAGGTCCACAGGCTTAGAGACATAGGAAAAATCAAGTCCATTTAGCGTGTGTCGCAATTTTCACACCTTAAAAAATTAGTTTTGACATTAATGTATAGTCAATTGCACCGCGATATTTAAGGTCTTCTTAGCTTCAGTCGAGTTATAACTGTGACTTTTTCTTTAAAAACGTAATTACTATGAAACTAAGAGAATAAAGAGTGTCCCTATTCATTTATTTATGTTTTTTATAGCAACTGCAGCGACTATGAAAAAAGCTGTGTGGTTTTCATAGAAAATAACGACACCTGTAATTCATTTGAGAATGTTATAAATCGCTAAAAGAGGTTTCAAATCTCTTGGATTTCTATTAATATTAAGTAAATTTTATTAAAAATTGAACTAAAATTGTTAGTATCATTAAAAACAATTCAAATTCAAAAAATGTGTCCCTATTCATTTATTTATGTTTTTTATAGCAACTGCAGCGACTATGAAAAAAGCTGTGTGGTTTTCATAGAAAATAACGACACCTGTAATTCATTTGAGAATGTTATAAATCGCTAAAAGAGGTTTCAAATCTCTTGGATTTCTATTAGTATTAAGTAAATTTTATTAAAAATTGAACTAAAATTGTTAGTATCATTAAAAACAATTCAAATTCAAAAAATGTATCAGTCAAATTGCCTCATTTAAGGTGAATATTAAAGTAAATATAAATACAGCTCATTCTAAGATCTACTTATCTTTAAGAAAAATTTAAATCATTGGTGCAATTGGGCCTTAATGCCATTTCGAATGAATAGTAGTATTAATAATGTACATTATAATAATAATAAATTTTATATCATAGCGTGTATTAAAACGACTAAAAATCTTTTAAATTGGTATTATATTAACAACTTTTGTTTTTTTAATACAAAAAAAAATAAAAGTAACAAACTTCTCAATCAAAATATTCGCAAATTAGCAAAAATTCGGGCCCTCTTTTCCAATAAAATTCAAAAACTCTCTTGTTAGTTTGGGTTAAAAAAATAAAACAATTATTTTTATTTTTATTTTTTTAATAATTTTAAAAAATAAATAAACATTATTATATTCAACAAAATAAATAATAAAAAAAAAACAAAAATTATATCAAGCTAAAGCTTATTTTATTTAATATTTTCTTTGCTATGTAAATTTACATTTAAAATTATGAACATTTTACAACCTGTAACGGGCCCCCCAGACCACCGGGCCCAAGGCCCGGGCCTTACAGGCCTTATGGTAAATTAGGCTCTGTTCTCATGTTCGTCAAGGTAGGTAATGGGTAAAGGGTAAAAAAACAGGATAATGAAATTTAAAAAATTACAAAAATTGTTCAAAAATGTGCCTCCCTCTTGCATTAAACAATAACCCAAACAATAAAATCCTCTCCTCACATTGGCACAGTGTCAAAGGCATTAAATATTTTCTGCCTTAACTGCTTCAAGTTTTGAATTTCTTCATGGCCGTAAATTTTAGATTTTATGTACCCCCATAAAAAGAAATGATTCACCGAGAGGTCAGGTGACCTTGGCGGCCACAAGATGGTTCCATGCCCACTAATTAGTCTATTGTCAAAAGTATTGTTTAAATATTCTTGCACAATACGACCATTGTGTGCTGGACATCCATCTTGTTGCCACCAAATATCACCAAATCTCTCACCAAGTACTCGTCGAATCGCCGCGCCGGTACAATTTGCTGTTGCAATAAATCCAAATATTTCACAGTATTTAAATTGCCTTCAATAAAAAATGGTCCAATAACGTGTTCCCCTACAATAACCGCCCAAACATTTAGTTTTTGTGGATATTGGGTTCGTACATTATAAAATCTATGCAAATTTTCTCTTGGCCAATCGCACTTGCGTGGAGTTTTGCCGATTTAATAAGGAAAAGGACGACTCATCAGTAAAAACAATTCTCCTAACAAAATTTCGTCAAGATTTACCTTTTCCATCATTATTTCGCAATACTCCATACGGCGAAATTGATCGTCGGGGAAAATTTCATGAACTTTTCTAGCTTTTTTTGAACGATAACCATATTTTTTGAGGACCCTTTTAACTGTTGTTGTACTTGAATTCACTGCTTCAGCAACTTGTACACAGCTTCTATTTGGATTTTCCTCAATTGCAGCGCATATTAAGACTTCTGTTTATTAAGAGAATTATCTTCAATTTTTGGCTTCTTATGCATGTGGGGAGTAATGCAGCGATATTTTTCAAAATTTTCTTTTATCCTGTGAATGGAGGCATTTGAAGGCACCGGTCTATTCTCGAAAGCTTGTCTGAATCCCGTTTTTATTTCTTCAATCGACTTGTTCTGATAAATCCACTTAATTATCTGAATTTTTTTATTAACGTGATACATATCCATTTTTAAATGCAAGTCCAGAATCTGAGATAAATAATTTCGAACTTATCAAGTTTAAATAAAATGAAATTAAAGGTCAGTCTAAACTAAACTGTTATTTTTGAAAACTTTTGAAAACGTCAAAATTTGGACACACGCTAAGGAGACTTGATTTTCCTATGTCTCGAAGTCTGTGGACTTTTCTGTATATAGTAAATAGGTTTAGTATAATAATATACATATTACGCTGTAACATTAAGAGGAAAGCCAATATTTGGACAGTTCAAAATTTGCATGGGATAACCTATGTTTCCATCCAAAAGTCATGGCAAAGTTGACTTCTACTTAACACAAGTATGTATTATGCGGACATGGATACTTTGAAGCTTATTTTAAACGCTCCCTTAGGGATACGGATACTTGTCGTTACTGCGAACTGGTTGACAATGTCGAACACACATTTTTCCATTGAGCAAGTTGGAGCTCTATTAGATATGCTGTAGAAGAGAAAGTGGGTAAACTAACACCATATAACCTAATCGCCACCATGCAGATGAAGGAAATATTTTGAAAGGAAATAAGCAAAATGGCTAAGGAAATCCTTATGGAAAAAAGAAGAGAGAGAGAGAACGTGTGATCCGATAGGTCCAAACCAGCTACATAGAATAGAACATCTCATGGACATGGACATAGGACCCTCCTTCTGAAGTAATGCTAATGCGGTTCCAGAAGGACACACATAAAAGTTCTGAGGTTTGTTTTAGTTAGTAAGAATCTGACACTACTTCGGTAATGATTGGCTCATGATTGACATTTTGCCTCAAAAAAAAAATATATGTTTCCAACGAAGATGCAACACCCGATGCAACACCCAGTAATCAAAACATATCACGACTTTTTAATGGACATGTATTCGATGAAAATAAAACATATTTTTGTGTTTGTAAATGATGTTTCATAGTATTTTGTGTATTCTGTAAATTAAAAGTTTTATTTTATGTGGTTTTAGTCTTATTTGTACCTGCAATAAATTAATAATATAGGCAATAAGTTCAATTTTGGCTGACTTGATGGTAATTATTTTGATTTAAATCGTTTTGCTGGTTTAACTCGCAGATTATAATGATTTAAATGAAAAATATAGACGTAAGTCATAAAAACGACTTAAAATACATTATATTGATTTAAGTCTTTACGAAAATGACTTGACTTTTAAGGAAATAATTGAAGTCAAAAAGACGTAAGATTTGAAACATTCAACTTTATGTTGAAATTGACTTAAAATGGAAATCATTTTGATTTTAAAAATTATTTAAGATTCAAAATTCCAGACTTTTTAAAACTGACTTGTTGCAAACTCTGCTCACCACAAATGTATAGACATTATTTAATCAAAACAATGTTTTTCACAGCTGACCGAATTAGATCGATAAAACAGAAAAACCAGCAAACTTCCGGCATTATAAAGACACCCCACTGTTGTACAATTACGACAATAACAACAAAACGTCACTATTACGCGGACGGAACAATAAACCGAATCGTTTAAAAATAATACAAAGAAGAAAACTTCATTCCCCGAACCGATACGGAGTTCAGGCCAAACTGCGCGCCCGTATTGTCTAGCTGCACTTTAACAACTTTTTAAACGAGTAGCATGAAAGTGTTTTTGGAAGTTCCGACCATGTGGGTTACAAGACTTAGAGTAATAAAAACAGAGAGAAGTTATTTACTTCAAACGTTTGTTTGTTTACATATACGTGCATAAACGAATGATAAACATTTTATATCGTAAATATAGACAGAGCGTGACAAAATATCTAAAAATATCTAAACTTTTAGATACTAGTTTGTAATAATTTGTAATATTGGAGTTTAGGCAGTGAAATGCAAGTGGCTTGACATATAATACCAAAGCCTGTTGTGACATTTTATAAGAGTTATTTATCATAAATATACAGGGTGAGACTTAAGTAAGTGCAAATATTTTCGGGGTTGGTAAATCTCGATAAAAGAAACATATTTTCTCTTTACCGTTTTTCCAATAAGTCCAAAATGACCGAGTTATTTTACTTTGAAAATTTCCAAAAAAAAATATTATTTTGCTAAAATTTTGAGAACCACTGGATCTTTTCATTTTCTTTCATGTATATTTAATCTACTACCTACTATGTTGTCATATTATTTTTCGCGAAATAAACCTCATAATCGTGTTTCTGGGGTCGAAATATACTACTCCTAAAAATATTTGCACTTATTTAAGATTCACTCTGTATAGATGCACAATGTAAACAAACCGTGTGTTTATTTACAACTGATTGAAGACAATACAATCCTTTTTTTTCAAGATTAGACATGCAGCGTCATTGATGTAGTTTCCGAATCTTCATATAAACAACAAAGTTGGTAAGCCGAGTAATCCAACATTATTTTTTGTTACTCCGAAGTACCTGATTTCGTTGATAACCGGATGTGACAGTCTGGAAGTAAAGTTCCTGTGACGAATTTTAAATCACTCTTGATTAGAAGAACATCTCAAAATGGTCAAAAATTATTCCTCTCACACATTTCTCTATACCGAAGGAATATAATTTCTACCTCTTGTCATACCAATTAAAAGAAAGATAAGTTAGAAATATACAGTATGGATCATTAATTTGTTGGATATTTTAATGACAAAAGATATATGAAACTCTTTGACACTTATTAAATTTGTTTTCAGTACCAAGTAATGAAAAATTAGTGTTAAGTGTCTTATATCAATAAATTAACTTATTAAATACATATTAAAATAATTACCTCTACATGACTAGTTAATGTTCGGACTTCTTTTCCATGTTTCAACCCTGGAGTCCATATTAAAAACCTATTTATATTTATACAATTCCCTACGAGACATATGGCTTTATCCAGAACTTCCAACACCTTGTAGTCAGCTTCATTTTCAGCCAGCAGCAAGATGGTGAAACCGTTCCTCTTACATTCATTCCTGAAACAAACAAAAAAACAATCAAGGCAATCGATTATTGTGTGAAAGAAATAATAAGGTAGGGAAGAGTATATGTTCAGTTGTCATCTTCAGAGATAGTCAAGCAGCGCTAAAGGCACTTGATTCAATTATAGAGCTAAATTCTAGACTATTGTGTATGAGATTGAGTGTGTGCCTTATATATCACAGAACGTAACAAAATAATATTTTAGCCTGAGTACCTGGCCATGACGGACAAGGGTAAAGAAAAAGTAGATGAAATGACCAAACAAGGCTCATTAGCCCTCCATACACCAGCAGATAAATTGACCAACTTGATATAACTCTGTGTACGTGTAGAAGGCGAAGTCTGTGACAGACCAAGACTATCACAGGCCAAATCCGTAGGCTTAATCTGTCATATTAGATTTGTCTAAAAAACAATAGAAGGATAAAAGTCCGCGGATTTGTTACGATAAATATTTAACTATATAAAACTGCTATAAACCTTCTAGTTTTGTACAAAACAAGAATATTTAACCGGGAAAATCTTATTAGGACTTGTTTTGAATAGGCAGACTAGGTCGGCAAGCAAGATTGGGCTCTATACATACATACATGCATACAGGCACTATATAATCACTATACACATTTAACTATATAAAACTGCTATAAAACTAGTTTTGTCTAAAACAAGAAGATTTAACCTTATTTACATACTGCCATTACTCGCTGACGAGTATTCGACACACATCAGAAGATGGTCACGCAAGGCGTTTTCTTTCATGAGCTTTTCTGTGACTGGAAAGCCCGATACGTGATGTACCTCACTCCGGACATCTCATTACTTTGTTGCCTCTTTACTTTTTGGTTGTCGCTGTTAACTGAGTTTACAATTCTTCTCCATTGAGTTCTATTGTGAGCCGCTTCTTCCTACTCATTCTGTATGTTAATTCCCATTAAGTTTTCGTGGAAAATATCCTAGTACCTTTTCAGTTGTTCACCCGTCCTCCTCTTACCGTCTACAAGTTCACAGTAAAGCAAAAAATTGGTATGCGGTTTTCTTGCATTCTGCATACGTGACCAGCCCATCTTAAGCGGGATTTTGTAACCATGACTTCAATACGCTCGCAGTTAACTTTTTCAAGGACCGATACGTTTGAGACATGATGGAACCACCGGATTCTTAAGAGTTGTCTAAGGTGTCTCTGTTGCAACTTGTTTAATGCGTTCATGTGTCGGCGGTACGGCACCCAGGTTTCGCTCCCATATAACATGGTGGGGATTATAATTACTCGGTACACTGCAAGTTTAGTTTTGGTACTCAAGTCATGATTGTAGAAAACCCTGTCTCTTAATTTCCAAAATGCTCTTGAGGCGCTTCTAATCCTGTGCTAAATTTCAGAGTCAATATTGGCCTTTTCCGAAATCAAACTGCCGAGGTAATTGAATTGGGCGTATTTCAATAGTTCTTCTCCGATGTTTATAGCATTGTTGTAATTTTCCGGGAGAGTGCACATGATTTTAGTTTTGTCGATGTTTAGCTTAAGGCCCAAAGCCTCGTATGCCCAGGTATATGTGTTCAACATTTCTTGTAATTATTGTAACGTGTTTGCAACTAGAGCGCAGTCATCAGCGTATTGAAGTTCTGTGATGAATTTTGTACGTGTTTTTGCCCTGAGTCTTTTTATGTTGAACAGACCGCCGTCGTATCTGTATCTAATAATATCTAATTCTCCCTCCTGAGTTCGCTGCCACTATAATGGAGAGCGCTGCCATGACACATTCCTGCCTAACTCCTGTATTTGTTAGGAATGGATCGACAGTGATCCATGATGGTGACGCTCTTGACTTGTTGTTATGGAGGCTTTTACACACTGTAAGAAATTTGTTGGGTACTCCGAACTTTTTCATAATTGCCCAAAGCGCATCTCTGTTCACAGAGTCGAAGACTTTTGTTAGATCGATGAATGCAACATAAAGTTTAGACTGCTGCTCTTTTACTTTTTCCTGTAGCTGGCGGATGGAAAATATGGAATCGACGGTACCGCGGTTGGTACGAAAACCTGTTTGCGATTCTGGAAGGATTTTTTCTATATGTATATGGGTGCAGGCGATTTGACATAAAGCTCTCTAAAATACAATTGGGCGTCCAAAATATAATTTAGAGTTATGAATACGTGCAATATCGTATGTGACGAGCCAAGTCTGCCGACCAAGACCGCTGGTGTATGCGGGGCTATGTTATTTATTTAGAAATTTACTGGGGGTAGCAAAAGAACTTGTTACTGTAAAACAATGGTTAAATTAATATTTTTTTGCTTCTGATGATGGGTGTTGTATACAAGTAAAAACCTAGTATCAAGCAACTTTTTTTCATGGCTTCCTTCGTTATATTATATTGACGATCACATAGTATTAAACCACAATTATCGCAGTCTGACAAGTATAAATCAATATCATTATGGCAAAATAATCTACTTAATAAGCCAGACGAATTATTTTATGGACTGTTGACGATAACCAAAATCGGACTCCAATTAGCAAATTAATTGTTTTCTTGTAAAAGATCTCTTGATAAAAATTAATTAAGCTTTGATAATTAGCCAGCATCGAAAGTGTATTGTATGCCTTTGTTTATAGGAAGAGAGAGTCTAAAACATGTGGTAGAAATTTTTCGATTTCAATTGGGAGATTTATCATCAATGGTCTTAATTGCGTTGCCATAAAGAGTCATATCGGTTAAATCGTAACAAATTGGTTTTTGGGCTCGTTTGAGAAATATAACTTTCGAAAATTTACTCGTTTTCGTGATGTAAAAGGTCTTAATATACCAGAAATACTTTTATATAATTTATTATATTTTTTGTAATGAAAATATTTAAAGATGGAATAATTAAGAAATACATTTCTAAATGTTAAATTAGAGTGCTACTAGACTGGACGCACACAGAAAGAGCAAAATTGTTGAGTCGAAAACGATTTTGTTCCGGGCAAAATCGATTTTGTCTTTTATAAAACTATTTTATTTCGAAGAGAAATGTTATATTTACGTTTAAATATGCACGGTTACAGAATCGGATACATATACAGCAACTAAAAATGTTCTAACATAAAACGACGAACCTTCGATCGACGTCGATCAGTCTGACTGTGACTAAATGAGCCTAAACCTATCTTAAATATCGCAGCTACTAAGTGTAGAATGTAGAATGTTTAGGAGGGGAGTTAATCATCGCGACCTTACAGATTTATCGTGTGTTCCCCTTTCTTGAGTTATAACGAGTTATAACTCCTCATAAAGTCGCAGGTCTTTAACAAAAGCCAGTATCTGAGAGGCTCCACAGAGGAGAGCTCCATCCTCGACATCAGCCGTACCAAAGTTCATGGCACGAACGGTCGTCGTCTCGGCGCACTCACTGATAAGGTGTTCTGGTGTTTCCCCATTTTCCCAACAGAATCTGCATTCGCAGTTGTTTCTCAGCTTCAGCCTACTGAGGTGTTCGTTGAGGAGACAGTGTCCTGTTAGAAACCCCGTGACAATCTGAAGATTGTTTATGCTTAAATCAAGGAATATCCTCGATCGTAAGTTCTGAAGAACTTTTTCGGGTGTCTTAGACCATTCGAGGTCTCCCATTCCAGGTTACGGATGGATTCTTCCAGGTTCTTCAGTTCCGCTTTTAGTTGGTTTCCGCTTGAAAAACAGAAAGGTTCTGATCCAGGTAGTGGAGTGTTCCCTCCTCTTCTAGCTAAATCATTTGCTTTTTCACTGCCTTCTATCCCTGGTGAGCGGGCACCCACAGTAGGGGGACTTTATTTTCTTTGCCTCATTGGTTCAGCTTCTCTAGGCATTCTTTGACCAACTTCGAATTAATGGTTACTGAGTTGATCGTTTAGTGCTGCTTGATTATCGGATAAGATGGTTCTTTTCTGTTTTCGATAGTTCCTGATAGATGCTGGGGCAGGTGCCTATTGATTTGAAATATTTAGTTTTTGGCCCAAATTCTTCTAACCCTGTCCATGCTTTGGTTTTGGAAGCATCAGTATACCACGTTATGGTATGGTCTTTTACATGTTCAGCAAACGTTTATCCCTTCCAATCCTTTTTATTACTCAATACTACAGTGAGGTGTTTCTCAAAGTTGTAGATTCTTGGTAAGAGTGCGTAAGCCGATAAGTGTGCGTTAGCCCATCTAATTTTCATTTGGGCATCACATTAAAACAGTTTTTGTCAAATAGGTATTTGACTAAAACTGTTTTGCGCTTTCTGTGTCCGTCCAACCTTTGATGAAAGAATCGTTCCACGATCCGCTGACTCATCCATGAAGGCGGTGGTGATGGCTCAGTAAAAATTATAAACAGCCGGTATTTAATTTTTATTTCCGAATAGTTGTCGAAGTCTTTTATATTTATTATTGGTAGGGTTTAATTTTAATTTGTTTTAAACTTATTATAAATATTAAACTTATTAGTGATGAATTATTTCTATAGAAAAATCTAATTTTTCTATAGAAATAATTCATCACTTTACTCTTATTATTTAAATTTATTATTATTTGTCAATATAGTCTATGCATTTCTTCTAGAAAGAAACAACTTAAAACTACTACCTGGTTCCTCAGCGATATTAACCTGGAAAAGTTGACCTTCACACCAATGTCTTTGTGCGTAAAGTTGTCCTTGCACCTTTTCACTGACACGACATAGGTGACTGTGGCAGTGCGAGGGATGTGAAACAAAGTTTTGGATAAAATATATAAAAAGGGATGATTACACTGCATGATTTCACTCTGAGTGATGTACATCCAAAGTGACACAGTGTAAGTCCCGGTTTAGGCTCTATTTCTAATCACCTATATATTTTTGCCGCGAAAGTTTCTTGGCTTGAGGACGGGGTAGTTCAAAAAATTGTTATAATCTTATTTAAACCATTTATTTCACTGACGTTTCGACAGTATTTATCATTTTCAAAGTCTAAAATTTTTTTATATAAATAAAATACACGCATAGACTAGTTTTTA